CACCCCCCCGGCCGTTGCCACGACTTCCCCCGTCGGGCCGGGTACACAGGCCCCGCGGGCGCGGGTCCCGTTCTTGGGGTTCCCTGCGGGCTTTCCCCACTTCCGGCCCCGCTCCGCTCTCGGGGCTGCCTTTTATTCCTGCCGGGTGGCGTCCCCTGCTGACGTCACCCGGCCCCAGCTGGATATAGGCGCGGCTTACAAATTGCGCCAGCGGTTTTCCCGCACATGTGTCCCTGCTCCCTCCGGCTTCTGCGTGGGGTGAGTAAGTGTTTACTTCCCCCTGGTTTTGCCCCGGGGTTTTCTTCTAACCCCAGCGTCCCTGGGACACCCCTCTTCAGCCAAGGACTTGGACTCTGCTTCTCTTCCCTACGTGGACTCCAGCCCTTCCACTGAGTCTCCTTCTCCTGCTGCCAGTGTGTGTGTACACCAATAACTTCATGGGGCTGTGTAGTGTGTTGTCTGAGTAATAAAACTGTTATTTGGACCTGCTAAGTTGGGTTTTACTTTACTATGGTTTGGCCCTGCTCCAATCTCTGCTCCTCGCCCCTCTAACTTCTGTCTCATTTCTCCCTCTCCTGCTTCTGGCTCACTGCCATCTCCAACACCTGTCCTGAGCTCCTCTCTGCCTCCAAACCCCCTGTTTCTTTGCCACTGTCTTATCCGCACTGCCTTTTCCTCTTCCCCTGGGCAACCAGGTTTCTGCCTCAGTTTCTTTCCTGGCTGTTTCTTCCTTTTCACCACTTATCTGCCCCTCCACAATATCTCAGCTGTCTGCCTCAGTTTCCAGCCCCAGTCTACCTTAAGTAAACCCAAGCCTTAGTTCCTCAGCCAGCTTCTCTGTAGTCCACCAGTTCTCGCAACTTTCACTCCCTACACTTTAACTTTCTCTCTCTCTCTCACCTGAACCTTCCCCCAAGTATCCCAGGTACCCCAAGCACACACATGCACACTGTACCATCCAAGTTAGGAACTCACTTGTGTGTATGTGTAGGTGGGTTGTATGTGTGTGAACTGGTGAGTGTGTGTGTATATATAAATATATGGCATTGTGTGCATGATATACGAATTAGTGATCTGTGTCTAACTTTTGGGGTGTATAGTGTATGTGCTTGAACTTGTGATAGGTATGCATGTGCCTAGCCTGGTCTGGATGTATATGTATGTAACAGTGGGCCTGCTCAGTCTCAGAGTGGCCGGCCCACCTGTTCCTGGGCCAGCCACCCGCGTTCTCACCCGCCATGCCTTGATGTTAATTGATAAATTAGTAGATGTTAATTAAGCGGGAGGCTGCCCATTTTCTGCCCCAATGCCAGGGGGCGCTATCTGTGGCTCCTTTCCTCCCCTACACTGCAGCCCAAGCCTCGCAGATGGCATCTAGGTGTTCTTATCATCACCAGCTCCACACTGAGCCCCAGAATCCTTCTATAAGAACCCCTCCAAGATCCCTCCATTCAGGCGGCCCACCCCGCCTTCATTCAGCTATCTAGCTCTCTGAAACTATTTTCCCCTCTCGGGTGTGGTCCCCCCGGGACCTTTGGCTACCAGCCCTGGCCCACCTTTAGGCCAGTCGGGACCCCAGGCCCTCGGCTCTTGGGCGTCCCTCGCAGTGGGCCCCTGGCCCTTTTGACC